CACGAAAGAATTGATTGAATTGGGACCCTACAAGGGGCTTCGCTTTGCACTTTGCCTCCCGAAACGACTCCAAAAACGACCTGGAAGAGAGACAAACCCAAAACAAACTATTCCTCGATGTTGCTACTTCATTTTCCACCACGGACACTGTTGCCTTGATTGCCTTGACACATGATAGCTCGAGATGTGGAACTGTTCAGGGTTTATGGTTGCTGTAGGGTCGGTTTCGGGTTAGTTTCGGCATGCTTGGGGCTTGTTGAGGGTTTGACGTAGGGTGGTTCAGGATGGGTTAAGAATGGTTTGGGGTGGGTTTGGGAAATGTGTGCGTTAGTTTGAGGGTGGGGGGTGGTTGGTTTAGGGAGGGCAACAAAAGGTGTGCTGAGGTTATAGTCAGTTGGTAGACGGACAAATTTGGGTGCGAGTAGCTGTGGGTTCAGGGTGGGCGCGTGCTTCCTCGCGCGCTCGCTGGCCGGGTGGCTGCCGACAACTCCCAATCCATCGGAACAAGAAACCATTGAGCAATCAAACCCAATCCATCAGAGAACAATCCCAATCTATCAGCACTCGACGTTAAGCGTCTTCAAGCTCAGTATCCAACTTCTGCCCCCAACCTGTTGGGCCACGCGAACCGAACTCTCCAGGTGCTCCGGCGCGCTCAATGCGGCATTTGCGGCGATGGCGTCGCGACCCGCCTGACGCTCCGACGCTCGCACAACAGAAACCGGGCGGGTTGGAACATGTTGCGCCGCAAACGGGACCAACATTTGGTGACCCAACTGGCCCCAATTGAGTTTCTCTTCTAAAAGCCAACCAGCAGAAAGCACCCTCTAATAATATTCTGGTGTTTTGGGAAACCCTGAATCTGCAATCCGTGAGACGCCAATACAACAAGGGAAACGACTACACTCTGGTAAAAGAAACTCAGCATTGATTTTGAACAACCCAAACAACGACTCACAAAGCACTTTGCCATTTGATTGATTGGGTTACAATTCGGGGGGGGGGGGGACATGACCTGCTCGCTTTGAGCGGAATTTCAAGGACAGCAACTCATCTTCAGGGCCATGGCATGGACCGCACAAAGGGTGTGGCTGTGGAACAGCAGGTTGCCATGATCTCAGAGCTTTATGAAACGGGGTAAACCAAGAGTGCGCACACGCATACCTAAATATATATATATATATACAGGTATAGTGTCCAACCATGTCAGGCACATCGTTGGAAAGGAGCAGTATGCATAGTACATCAACCGTGAACACATCTTTGTTTGAGGCTAAACAACAACAAACATCTGACAGCTTCTGCCTCACGGAGCAGAAGAAATCCGTCAAAATGCTATCACCAACTGCGCTTCAACTCTACCTTTATATGCTCGAGTCCCTGGGAACGTTTATTCACGCTTCCAGAGAAAGATTCCCTTGAAAACCCACAGGGGGAAGCAAAAACATAGCTTTATAAGCAAACGAAGGTACAAGTGCGTGTACAAAACCTTGAAGACCACTGCCAAATTGAAGAGCAGGTCGTGCACCATGTTTGATTGGAGCCCACGCACCAAGCGATGTTCCGAATAGAATACTTTGCGGCTAAAAGCTGGGAACGGTTCACCAAGCGCTTGTGTACCTTCCACCCGGGCAATTTGCGCAAAACACATGCAGAAATCTATCAGGCATAGTCATGCTTATGACTATGCATTAAAACTGGAAATCCAAGGCTGCAAAGTGAAACAGCCAGAAGTCCTTTCTTGGCAGCGAAATGCGACGTTGCTTCGCCCAAAAAGTTGCAAAGTTTGTCGTGGACAACCTGAAGCGTTGGATGACATGATTCCAATCAGGGGCCAAAGTGTAAACCCTGCAAGGTTTGCTGCAGCCGGTGTTAAAACTGCCGTACCGGAAAGGGGCACAGGACACAAATACCGACACCCTTTACTCACAAAAGGATGACAGCGGGTCAAGCCTGCGGCAAGGGTCCACATGCCGCCAGCTGGCAAGTGAGGCGCCCCTAAGCAGCCCCACATGTTGTGTTCCTTTTCTTTTCTTTTCTTTTTTTTTTTGGGGGGGGGGGAGTCAAGCAGACTGGCCCACAAAAGTGCAAGGGGTCATGCTCAACCAAGGCTGAAAGCCCTGCCTTGCCAAGCAGGCTGAGGGCCGACTCCCACCTGCGCGGTATCAGAGGTGAAGTAGATTTCAGGTTGGGTTCTCTTTAAAACTGCATCTCAAATGGGTCAGCTCCTTTCATGAAATGATTTTGCACAACCCCCCAGGGATAAGGGCTGCACATGACATGGTGCCTTCATGCTACCATGGCAAAGATGCATGGCAAAATGGCAACATGCACATGTTGAACCAACAAGTTCGAGGTTTAAGGTTCCTTTAAGTTTGCGAGTGCTGGCTAAGTCAGAGGGCTAGCACAGGCTGTGCATGCCAGACCCGAAATGCTGGAGGTTGAGATCCTCGCCTCAAACTACTACCATTCGCACTCTAGCTGACCGAGCCTGAAATCCAAAGTTCAACTAACTTTATGGCTACTTGATTGGATCTTTAGACTTTAACTTTCTGGGGAGCACATCGGATTATCCATTGGACCCACAGCAAGTTCAGCTTCTGCAGGGTCAACAACAGATTGCCCCTGGATGTACCCTCCCACCAGCTAACATGGAAGTGCACAGACTCCTGTAGAAAGACAACTTTCCTCATGGAAAGGGCCTTTTTGCACTTCCATGTTTGTTGGTTGGACGGTAGCTGGCCGGTTGACCTGATCAATTGATGTCCAACCAAAAAGCAGTCACGGCCTCTGCACACGCTGGCAGGCGCTGATAGCCGCACCTCAGTAGAGCTGGGTACTTGTGGTGCCCTCTCCATATATCCTTTAATGTTCACCCCATACTAATCAACCCCAGTTTGTTAATAAGGGGGTGTCCCTGGGTGAAGTGGGGAATCATCACTTGGAGGGGAACACCTCCATATCAATAAACTGGGGTTAATTAATATGGGGTGAACATTAACCCGCAAAGACACAGGGAGCATGTGGGGAAGAACCCCTATGTTGGCATAGGGCCACCCTTCCCATAGATGTCTTGAAAGGATTATCTGGGCGACTTATCATAATTCACCAACCCGAAAGGGAATCCAACAAAGGAACCTTCATGAACGAGGTCGCCATCATTTGCCTGGACGCGTGAAGGAACAAATAGTTACAGATCTTCCCCAGCCCTCAGCCCTCTCGTTCAAGAAAATGGGATACCCGTCACCTTCCCTCAGGTTCCAGGCTAGTGGGAGGGTACCGTGTTGATTGAGCTCGGTGAAGCAGCCTGTTTCCAAAATCTCAACAGGTGATTTCGGGCAAACACACATCATGAACAGCGGCTGAAGTGTTCTTTTGGGCCGCTCGCCGCGCTTTTCTTATGAGACTGCTGACTCCTTGGTGCTCAAAGGCTTGGAAAGACCGGAGCCTTGAGGACTGGCCTCAAGATTGAGTTCCACCCGGTAATTTAAAGCGACGGACATCCCCAGCTTCGAATCTCGAGTCGTGGAAAATCCCCAGAACACATCCGGACCGCTTGGGGGTTTGGGGGGGGGGGGCTTGGGGGCTTGCTTGGGGCTTCGGGGCCTTGGGCGCTTGGGCGCTCGGGGGACCGCTTGCCCAGAAGAAACCCCAAGCATCCCGAGAAAAACATCCAAGAAACCAACAAGCTTCTTTGGTCTCGTTTGTGGGGGGGCCCCTTCTGGAGTTTATTTCTGGGGTTGGTGTTCAGGGGAGCTAAGGGGCAGCCGCCTGTGCCTCTTAAGGTCTCTGGTTCACCTCGGTGGGAATCTCAGAAAGGGGCACCGAAAAAGACTCCTAGGTCCTCCAGATTTGAGAGGTTAGAAGAAGGATACCCGATTTTTTTGTCTGTAGTCTATTGTAAAAGAACCCTCCCCCAAAAAGTTTGTCAAATGGCACTGCTGGGGACCTAGACTCACCCATGTTGAGCCTTACGGACTGGCGTCACTTTGCAAACTCCTCCCAGCCGTCGCAAGAGACCGACAAGTTGCAATACATGGCTGTGTCAGGCGTCAGCCCCTGGCAAAGGCATCACGCCCTTATCAGCCCAAACAAACAGAGAGTTTGAGACTCCGCTCTGAAAGGCAATCAAACAAAGTGGACAAATGGGGTTTCTCTTTAGAACATCTTTTCTGGAAATATTTTTACTGCACGAATTGGATTTAAGGAATCCCAAAAGGGAACCTTCATCAGAGCTTGCTCTAAGAATATCGGATCCTTTTGCCCCCGATGCTAAGATGATCAGGCATTTTGAGCCTGCGTTGCCTGACATAGGCAGGTTTGCATGTTGCCTAAAGACTGAAGAGGCCAACCTATGAAAATATATGATCATGGATGGAGGGTGCATCCAATGACTCAAAGACAACGTATCATCACAGTTTCATGTTGGTGGGGATTGCCCTTGAATAGTGCAACAATTGGGCGGAAAGCCAAGGGAATTTGTCAAACCTGCAGAAAGTGCAAAATCCGAACAGAGAGCAGGCGGCTTGTTCGGAAAGAGGCAACACTTATCTTCATCTGCCAATTCGCTTGCTAAACCACTGACTGATAATAAAGAGGTACGGCATGTCGATAAGAGCGTTCTGAACCCCAAGCACGCACGGCTTCTTTCCGGCTTCCCCGAGAAGCGACCTTGAAAAAGGGTACCCTCCCAAAAAGACATTAGGCACATCCTTGGTCAATGCTCAACCCTCAGCCCAGTTCTTGTTTTCCTACTACCGCCATTATGTTGCACACGTCGGCTCATCTCAGTTTCGCCCTCCAGCACAAACATGTCGGACTCTGGTCAATAACCAAGTGAACTTTAACATGCAAAACACAAGCACAGCATCAACAAAAACCACGGAGCATAAGACCACTGTGTCTCCAAGCACTCTCCTTGCACTGTGCGATCTCTTCTTCTTTTTTCCGTCGCCCGCAAGCGAGTCGAAATCGAGGAATCGTCAGGCGCCGGCGGATCGCCTCAGAATGGCAACGGAGCCAGATCCGTAGAGAATGGCCGTTCCGGGTTGTAGGGAATGAACCGGAAGGGATTCACTGAAACTTCATGATTTCAACCCCCCTGTCGGCTTCCCTCTGGTAGTTTGGATTGGTGGAGGTGAGGGGCTGGGTTCCCACGTTAGTCTCTACGAGAACTAGGAGAACTAGGGGTTCAAACCCCCAAGACACCAACCAATTAAAGGTTTCCTGACCAGAGGGTGCACCTGATTCTATTCCATATGTTTGTCCAGGAAGTCTAAAACCGGCTCTTGGCCGTGGTTGACAGGATGCACATGGATACAACAGCGGTCGAATGTGGGATTGTGACTAACAAGCCCCAAGCCCCGGACAACACTGGCCTCGGCACTGGACAAGAAGCCTGACGGACTCACCAGCGTGGATCAGTTTAGCACCCAAAAGAATTCAGAAGAATCCAACCGTGACTTGAAAAAAACATGGCCTAGACCATGATTTTTTGGAAAATGACGCTAATGACAAAGTCATGTGCGGCGTGCTTTCATTGTGGATATGAAGGTGTAGAAAGGTCCCTATTTGGGGGAGGATGAATGGTCTGGCCAGGGGACTTGCAAATGACTGCTTTGCACCCTTCAGGGGGTTGATGAAAAAAAGGTCCTTTGAACACGGGGTATGTTGACCTAGCGACCAAGCATTGCTCGACTAGTGTGCATACTGTTACCGTTTTTAAGGCAAGTTTAGAGGCACCTCTAAACCTGCCAGGGGAAATAGACATCTGGAGGCCGGTCAGACCGCGGTCAGGTCCTTCACATAAGAAAGAGTGGCCCTTCCCCAGTGGTCAAACCCTTAGCCGACTCCAACAGTTCTTTTCGGGCTGGCGAAAGGCTCCGAAAGGGCTCTGGACGCTCGGCTCGGCAACACACAAGTCTTGCTGGCCAGCGTCTGAAGCGCAAACCTCGGCTCACGCACGCGCACGCAGTTGCCTCTTGAGGCTTCAGGTCGAACCCATGTGGAACGAGCCTTGTGGCGCGTTCCGGCGGACGCCATCCCTACCTGTGGCCCAAAAAGTGCCTAAGGCGCTTTGCTTAGAACGTAGTGGGACAAGACCGCCCAGGAAAGGGCATGGCAGTTGGCAACAGTTAATGGTGATGACTGCTAAGATGTGAGAGATGCCTCAGAAGTGAAAAACTGATCCTGAGTTGTGGACTTGCAAGACATGCAAATATTTCCCCATCTTGCTCTCCTTGAAGGATAGATAGCAGGAAAACAACCCTGCATTTTTGGGGTTCTTTGTCTCCTTTTGGTCTAAATATTCGCCACCGATTCCGCACAAACCACTGGTATCCAACCCGAGTCATCCGAGCCCAACTGGCCAAGCAGACCTTCCCAACAACTCACGCTTCGCTCAAAGTTTGCCAAAAATCATGGAAGTGGAGGCTATCTCTCGATTTTTTTGTGCCACGGCCAAAGACTCCTGTGATTTCATGGTCAGAGAAACAGATTGATTAGGTTCAGCGGGGAAAGCATTGGGTCGGATACAGCGATGCTCGGAACCCAAAAAGGGCGGCCGGCTGAAAGCTGGCTCCTCCTTCAGTGGACATCCAAAACCTGGTTGCCGTTGAACCTGCAAAACAGTATAACTTTTCGTGGGTCCAACGAACAATTCACTGTTTCCCAAAAGAAAAACTCATCCAAAGATCCAAGCAAATAGCCATAAAGAAGGCGCATCTGAGCCAAATAGCCATAAAGACCTGCCCCAAAAAATGGAATAGCCACGAAGAAATGGTCTTTTCCATCTGAGCTGCTGGAAGGTCTGGCGGCAGGGCATACTCATGCGCACGGTGAGCAGCAGCTCCTGCAACGAGTTGGTCTCCAAAGCCCACTTGGCCTCGCTTTAAAACAACCCGAAAAAGGCCTGAAAAAGATCATCACCAACCGCCTGGAGGGAACATCACTTCAGTTTGACCCAACAGAACCTTGTTGAAACCAGCAAGCACGAAAAGCTGGGCCAACAGGTGACAAGAACGCATAGCGCGCTTGCTCGCTCCACACGCGCGAGCGGGCTCGCACACCTGTTAGGTCCCAAAAGCAAAGATGACCGTTAGGTCCCAAGTGCCTGGGCAACCCAAGAAAGGTCAATGCTTAACTCACTTGCCAAAAGGACCTGGAAATAAAAGGTTAACCTTTTGGGACCTTTACTAAAAATGGGCCAAAAGGGAAAACCAAAAGGTCAAAAGGTCGGCTTTGGGCAAGTGAGTTAAAGGAACAGTTTGGTTCCTTGAGATCCCTAAGAAGTCACTTTCGGCATGGGGAGACTCGAGTTGTGGCTTTGAATTTCGCTCACTTGGCGTTAAAGCGGCATGTGCGTGGGTGCAGAAAAAAACACTTTCCGTGGTCCAAAGTGGGATTCCCATCCCCATGACTGCACAATTACTTATCTTCCCCCCCCCTTGGTGTCAGAGCAAGTTGCCCCAAATCCCAACTTCGGGGTATTCCTGCCATTGCAAATCCCTCCTCGCCCTCGGTGACTTGGAAGGGCTTCGGAGCAGCGGACCTCTCACCTGCAGTCTGTCTTGACGAACAACTCTTCGGCTTCGACCAACCAAAACTCACCTGCCATGACCCTGCTTAACCTTTCGGCAAAAACGAAGAGTCAACAGCTCGCTATTGCTAACTGAGAAACCAGACGCCTAAACAGGTCCCCTGCGCTGTTACAAACAAACGGCGACTCACCCACGACCCAATGCAGGTTTTGAGAAGAAAGGCACCCTCTAAAAATGTAGACAACTCATCAAGCGATTCCGAAAAAGTGTGCCACAAGCTGGCCGGTTCTTTTAAATATCCAATTTGCTCCTTCGCTCGTCGCTCGTTGCGATAGGTAAAGTGGCCGTCCATTTCCTGCTCATTTTACTTGTCGCTCCAAGCCAGGCACTTCAGGCAAACACAGGTTATATATGGGTATATCTTAGATCAAAACAGTGGTCGCCATATGTCCCATTTCGAACCCTTGCGCCCTCTGGGGCTTTCCCAGTCAACATCCCAATCCCCACTAAAATCCCGACTAAAATGGGTGGTGCGCCGAACCCCCCAAAATGGGATCCCAAAACGGTTTCGACCCACGGCCATGTCTGACCCCACAGCCGCGCGGAAATGCCGAAACTTCGCCACCACGCCTTGCTGCGCCAGGTCGAAGTCCTCGATGAGCTGCAAGCCCTGGCCCCACTGCATGTCCCGCGCGAAGCCCCAGCCCGGGTCCTTGGTGTCCTCCTCAGAGCCCACGGAGCCCACGGAGCCGACGGCCAAAAGCAACACACATGCAAGACAGGAAACGCCCAAACACGGCCCAAAACCAAACCATAGAGCCTGGAGGGGGCCTGCAAGATCATTTTCTTGAGGGGCCTCTGTTTGGGTTCCATGCTTGCTTTCCAGGAGTATTGGAAGCCCAATCGATCAACAAAACCTTGGTTGGTGAAAAAGGGCGACTGTAGCACATTTTAGAGGGACTACCTCTCGAATGATCTTTCAAGCACTGATTGTGCAAACCCAAATAAATGCATGATGCCATGTTTAGCTTTTCGTGGCTATTTTCCCGCCATCAGGCCACAATTACGGGTTAACCGGCCTACAGGCTAGCTGATGAGTAGGGGTGTGACTGGTATTTTGGAGGGGACCCAGCGATTTGCTGGAGAACCTTTATAAATTCGGAAGACCTACCAATCCGGAGTAGGCATTCAGTTTGAGCGAAAGTGCCCGGCTAACCAAAACAACCTCTCCTCAAACAAAGCCCGCCTTTGCGACAGGCGGCTGGGTCCGGGTGCTGGTGTTGAGCATTTGGCTACGGGAAGTACGTGCACAAATTGCCATATTTCCCAAAGTGGAAACAAGGAATCCGCCATGCAAGGACCTCCTTTACCTCTTGTCATGTTTTTGCAGAGACATAGGGAACCCTGTGATGAGTCCAATCTTGAACAGCGAGCTGTCTTCACTGACAAGTGACAGATTTGTCCATTTGCACCATTTTTGGGCAGCGGTCTGGCATAGCTGGAAACCGGAGCCACATGCATGGGGTAGACCGTGCATGTTCCTCTAAAAAGTGGGGAGCCCTAAAAGGTTGGTTTCCTTGTGGTTTGCTTTGAGCACCAACCAAACAGGGGTTCCTCAAAGAAAGACACACCCGAGTCCCAAAAGAACCAAGTGAAAAGCTAACTCAAGGCTCTGGATGTGTGGTGATCTTGTGCGTCTTCGCCTCATCGCTCCACACCTGAACGGCCCCAGCGAATCTTCAAAGACCGCCCACCAAAAACAAAAGAGCCGAACACAAAAAACAAAGCAATAAAACACCCGCCACTGCACAGTCTGCGTAAGGCTAGATTTGTACCATTCCTCGCATGCGAGCCGTCGGTCTGTTCCAGGATCCTCGTGCTAGGAGCTGGGATCATGTGCTGGGCGTGTGACCCACTCCGCACATGTGCGGGCGCAACGACGCCTTTCCTGGCGATCCATTGGCGATCCGAATGCGCAACATTCAATGGCCATAAAACAAAGCCGCTATGTGTTGGAGGAACGTCTATCAACCTACAGATCTGGATCGCTTCTTACCTAACTTGAGTGCTACAAAAAGTCTACGAGGACTCACCCGGCTTAAAGACCTGCTAATCAAACCACCAAGCGGCCTCTCAAAATCATCATTCAACAAACTACAAACATGAAAGCCTATCATTTAATTGTGTCCAATTCTTGTGAATTGCACGAATTCCTGTAGAGGCCCGGGGCGACCCTGAGTACAATCCCTCAACCCCACCCACCTCACCCCCCCTCCTCCCCCCCCACCCCATGGGCCGAGTCCACGTCGACGCGGACGACGCGGACGACGCGGTGGACGGCGCCTCCCAGGAGGAGACCACCGCGTGCACCACGCCGCTGCGCAGCGCCTTGAGCTTGAAGCACTGCATGGCCGGGATCCCGCGCCTCCGGGGAGGTGTTGGACCCCCTCAAATGCCCCCCCCCCCCCCACCAGGCACCACCCCTCCCCCCCCCCAAAAAAAGCAACAACAAGGTCGGTTGAGGAAAGACATAAAAATCAGCACCACCCCCAAAAATATATATAGAAACATGTGTTGAGCGAAGAAAAATAAATAAAATCCGATAAACACCTACGAATAACATTGAGTACCAAAAACAAGGTCGGTGGCAGCCAAACAACCCCTTTCAGCTGATGAGTTGTGGAGGGGGGAAACATAAAAAATAAGGTCTGTCCCCAGGCTGGCCAAAACCACCCCAAAGCCTATCTGGGCAGAGACCCCATAGCTGCCACGAGTTTGGTCAAAAGTCCTGCGCCGCTAGTTCTTGGGATCTGTCGGGTTCCTCCGTCTGGGCAACCTGAGTAACAAGGAGGTGATCAGCAGAAGGCAAAGCAAAGAGCGCGACAGTAGAACTTCACCTTCTCGAACCAAGGCTGAATACTAGGTCGACCAAAGCTGGGGGAGCTTCTTCCAATAATGGTTGCCGCATTGAGGGCTTGAACCCTTGGTTCGTTTTGAAACCAAAGAGGAAGCTACGGCTAGCCTGCAAACTACCATTTGAGGAAAATCGATGTCATGTAATGTTTGGTCCTGCCAGTAAGCAAGGACACCTGCCAAAGACAACTGAACCCAAGCCAATGGCCCATGTTTCACCAACCCAAAGACGAGACACTCGAATCATGGACGAAGTCACATCCCCCGATTGTCAAGTCGCTGTTTCGCCCGACCAATGCCAAGCGCCCCAAACAAAAAGGCAATCAAGTCGCCATCAACATCAGATATTTGCCCCAATCTAAGTAAATTATCCAAAGGCCTACAGCTATTTGTCTGATCAGAAGTCTCCCTTGCTGACCCTCATTTCGGGTTGGCGCGAGATCGAACAGGCGCCTGTCCCCCGTCTGGAAGTCCACTTCGAACACAGGAAGCCGCTCGGACATCTGTACAAGATCCGGCAGCGTGTTCAGTCGGAAGCCCCACCTGTCTCAAGGGGAGGGCCCTTGAAATGCGAAATGCGGCTCCCGGCAGCTTCCCGTTACAACAAGTCCAACAAAGGGCACCGGCGCCCCCAACAAGAAAACACACCCATATACAGCATCCAACCATCTTACTGTCTGACAGTCATGTGACAGTCATACAACACACCGGCAGGGACAACCAACAACCGATATCCCAGTACCCACATGCAAGGGGAATGTGTTGAACGAGGACATCTCTACACCGGCAACTTCCAGCCTTCATGGTAGCAAAATCCTGGCGGGTTGCTCCCAGTGCCCAACCACAGCTCCGGTCAAAGGGCCATGCTGTGAGTTTACTTGAATCAGTGAGTGGCACTGCGCGCCCCAGTTCTTGTTAAAGGTCCAGGAGGGCACGTGGGGGCTGCAGGCATAGGGTGGCGCTGACTAAATCTTCGGGCTCAATTGAGCAAAGGGATTCAACCTTGGATTCGCCGACAGAAGGTGTCGCTACTTGATCATGCTAGGTGCACCAGTTGACGTTCGCAGATTTCGTGACCAAGCTGTTTGTTCTGCGGATCTGTCAGGATTGAGAACGATATGTTGGCGAGTCCTTTCATTTTGCACTGGGCTGAGCACGTCTTTCACACAGCATCGAACACTCATTAAACAATCACCCATTTTCGCGGAAGCTCCGCTTTGCTTGAAACCAACAACCGAGCGCACCAGTGCTAAAAGCCCTGGTGCATGTATCACTATAGGCAACTTCTATGTGGGGTGAACTTCCTGCCTTCTCCCAGAAAGCGGCCGCATACTATGTGAGGGGGTCTTACCCAAGGCCACCGGATGCCGAAAGTGCAAAAACCAAACGCATCACCCGCTCGACAGCATTCCTCCCAACTTTTCGGCCCAGTCGCTGCTTGCTGAAGAAGATCTTGCCCGTATCCTGCGAGTCCGCTCGCGAAAATCTCGCTTGCCAGGAGTCACTGGATGTCACTGGCTGTCACTGGCTGGTGGGTTTCAATGCTGCCACTTCCGGATGTCCAACGGATATCCCTATTTTGGGCCCGAAACATCGCTCCTCAGGCAATCAAACGCTTTAATTCGCCCAAACCAGAATGCTCAAGCACCCCACAAGCCCCCTTCGGGGAATATAAGTTGCACACCAATTTGTGGACTTCCAACTGTTTCCCGAGAAAGCCCGCAAATATCTTTAAAATGGGATGCCTCCCACCTTGTTCATCCACGCATTCCATAGGGCCCAATTTGAAGCGTCTTGGACCAAGTTGACTGGAACTGGCACTTTTTCGGGCTGTGGGGTCCGGATCAAGGCGGTGCTGATGAAGGGGATAGGGCGAATGCTTTGTGCTTCAAGTTAAGGGCCAAACTTGGACCAAGCTGCTACTATCTGATACTGTCCCTCTCGATAACCCCAATATTGGTGTTGCACCAGGGTCATGGGGGGGTTTGGCATTCTGGCAGGTTCGGGGTCGTTTGATACAGTTCACGATTGCATCCAGCGGATGTATCTAGAGGACTCCGGCGGATGGCGCAATGGGGGATACCCCTCGCGCAAAACGCATTCTCCGGTCAGCGATGGCATTTACGTTAGTACAAGTGATGCAAATACTTTTCGGCCAGCGAACCCGGTCTTGACTTCCATTTGGTTAATATCCCTGTTGTTGTTTCTTTTTTTATATACAAAACAAAAAACATTTCCAGTAGTGATACATTCCTTTTAAACCCAACAAGGGAAAATAAAAGATATTCTTAAGCAAATGGGAAGTTGATTGCGCAAGAAAGCCGCCCTTCGAGCAGCCAACAAATCTGTACCAGCCGTTGATTCGAATCATTGAAACGTTGAACTTATCCTTTGATCCACCAGCATGGAACCTGACTTGAAGGCCCCTGGAATACTTGATTGGGAGGGTGAGAAAAAGAACAGACACATGTATGTTTCAAAGGCCTAAACATCGGCGGCCCTGTGCTTCCAGTGTCCGCTGTAGTAAGGAGGGCTTCTTACCAGGATTCCCTTGGTTACCTATACTGGCAACTGGAAGCACGCACGGGCCACCTGCGCGGCTTCCAACTTTAAACCAACCCAGCCAACCCGCACAGGCCACGCCTGCAGGCAGCCGATGGCCGAGAGGTCGAAGCCGAGGCTGCACTGCTTCTGCACGCTGGACACCTCGGGTGTCGAATTTGTTGGGGTCCACCGGGCCGTGGGTTTTGGGTCCCGCGAGTGATCCACACCATGCCCACAGTCAAACAAAACATCGCAATTGTGCATACGGCCCACTTTTCCTTTCCCAAATTGCCCCCCCAACAATTGCAATTGCACATGACGTTTGGGGGGTCTCGGAAGATCAGGTTCCTTTGAAAGGGTTCCATGTTGATTGGTGGGAGGGCACCTTTTTGGGGCTTGGTAAGCGAAGCCAAGAGGACAACTCACCATTTTGGGACCTGCTGATCTTGACACGAACCGAGAAAATCAGCGACCTCTTGGTTTTCCTGTTTTGGTCTAGTTTTAGTCGTGGGCACGACATTGATTTGCTCTATGGTGGAATCGCTGGCGAGAACCCTTGCAAGGCAAGGGTCGGATCGGGGCGAAGTGGGCTTAGCTGGGGGCAACCAGTTATGCACCGCCCAAGAAACCCTGGAATGAGTCAACTCCCCTGTAAATACCAACAGGGATTGCCTTTGACCCTCCCTGTCCTGAGAACTACAAATCTTTGCGAGTCCTCTGTAATACATAGTAAGCATCCCCTGATGTATCCAATTGACATAGTCGGGCAGTTGGGCCTCATTTTTGGGCTTGGTCCACTGGCTGTTGCACAAATAGTCTGGATACACGTTGAATGTTTGCCTTGGCAACGTAGAAATTGAACGCCCTTCAAGCAACCACGCCCTAAAATGGGACGCCCACAGGGGCTTCGCTTTGAGCACACCATAGAGTGTCCCCAATTTGAGGCGTGAGCGATGTTTGCCTTTTCAAGACCCCAAAAATGGATGTTTCTTCAACTGGAGCTGCACCAGTACACAATGCTACGTATGTTCTTCAATAGGGCTGAGCTCGCTAAACATAAGCGTGAATAGCTTCGGGATACCTTTAAATACCGTTTCGCTTGCCCACTGGAAATAAACAAGTGGTCAACTGTTGGGATCCCGACCAAAAAGAACAGACTCATACTGGACATTGCTTGCAACATGCAAATGCAAACCAAAAGGGCAGTGATCTGGTGAATCTAAGTACTTTCTCGTATCATCATTTTAGCAGAGGGATATGTTCAGCGTTGCCCAGCTTCGGGCTGGTTCTTGAAAATGAACAGGGGGGATCGCTTTAATCAAAGGAAACCGAAAGGGATGAACCACCAACCAACTCACTTCCTGAGTGGATGGCCGAAAACAACCAATTCGGTAACCACACCCAAACAGCGACCTAAGTCCACGCACCCAACCTGTGATGGAAACATATCCAGCTTCAACTCAACCACTTTCAACTAAGCCACTTTCAACTAAGCCACTTTCAACTAAGCCACTTTCAACTAAGCCACTTTCAACTAAGCTACTTTTAACTAAGCCACTTTCAACTAAGCCACTTTCAACTAAGCCACTTTCAACTAAGCCACTGTCAACTAAGCCACTGTCAACTAAGCCACTGTCAACTAAGCCACTTTCAACTAAGCCACTTTCAACTAAGCCACTTTCAACTAAGCCACTTTCAACTAAGCCACTTTCAACTAAGCCACTTTCAACTAAGCCACTTTCAACTAAGCCACTTTCAACTAAGCCACTTTCAACTAAGCCACTTTCAACTAAGCCACTTTCAACTAAGCCACTTTCAACTAAGCCACTTTCAACTAAGCCACTTTCAACTAAGCCACTTTCAACTAAGCCACTTTCAACTAAGCCACTTTCAACTAAGCCACTTTCAACTAAGCCACTTTCAACTAAGCCACTTTCAACTAAGCCACTTTCAACTAAGCCACTTTCAACTAAGCCACTTTCAACTAAGCCACTTTCAACTAAGCCACTTTCACTTTCAACTAAGCCACTTTCAACTAAGCCACTTTCAACTAAGCCACTTTCAACTAAGCCAAACTAAGCCACTTTCAACTAAGCCACTTTCAACTAAGCCACTTTCAACTAAGCCACTTTCAACTAAGCCACTTTCAACTAAGCCACTTTCAAAGCCACTTTCAACTAAGCCACTTTCAACTAAGCCACTTTCAACTAAGCCACTTTCAACTAAGCCACTTTCAACTAAGCCACTTTCAACTAAGCCACTTTCAACTAAGCCACTTTCAACTAAGCCACTTTCAACCAAGCCGCTTTCAACCAAGCCGCTTTCAACCAAGCCGCTTTCAACCAAGCCGCTTTCAACCAAGCTGCTTTCAACCAAGCCGCTTTCAACTAAGCCGCTTTCAACTAAGCCGCTTTCAACTAAGCCACTTTCAACTAAGCCACTTTCAACTAAGCCACTTTCAACTAAGCCACTTTCAACCAAGCCACTTTCAACCAAGCCACTTTCAACTAAGCCACTTTCAACTAAGCCACTTTCAACTAAGCCACTTTCAACTAACCCACTTTCAACTAAGCCACTTTTTCAACTACGCCACTTTTTCAACTAAGCCACTTTCAACTAAGCCACTTTCAACTAAGCCACTTTCAACTAAGCCACTTTCAACTAAGCCGCTTTCAACTAAGCCGCTTTCAACTAAGCCGCTTTCAACTAAGCCACTTTCAACTAAGCCACTTTCAACTAAGCCACTTTCAACTAAGCCACTTTCAACTAAGCCACTTTCAACTAAGCCACTTTCAACTAAGCCACTTTCAACTAAGCCACTTTTTCAACTAAGCCACTTTTTCAACTAAGCCACTTTTTCAACTAAGCCACTTTTTCAACTAAGCCACTTTCAACTAAGCCACTTTCAACTAAGCCACTTTCAACTAAGCCACTTTCAACTAAGCCACTTTCAACTAAGCCACTTTCAACTAAGCCACTTTCAACTAAGCCACTTTCAACTAAGCCACTTTCAACTAAGCCACTTTTTCAACTAAGCCACTTTCAACTAAGCCACTTTCAACTAAGCCACTTTCAACTAAGCCACTTTCAACTAAGCCACTTTCAACTAAGCCACTTTCAACTAAGCCACTTTCAACTAAGCCACTTTCAACTAAGACACTTTTTCAACTAAGCCACTTTCAATTAAGCCAATTTTAACCCACCCAACCTAACAAGGATCCCGAGTTTCTCGGCCTGCCTTTTCGGCGCCTTTTTGGGGCCCCCGGCCATGGCCAAGGACTGGGAGGTCACCAGCTGCGCGAACTGAGCCCCGCCCCTTGGCACCACCTGCCGAGAGGGGCGAGGGGCGAAGCGGGGGGCGAGGCCGGTGGAGGGGGGGGTCCCAGAATTCCAGAAAGGGAAAATTGAATTTCAGGGGTCGAAATCCCCCGAGAGAGGGGGGGGAGGGGGGGGAGGGGGGGAGAGGGGGGCGGGGGAAAAAATCGACAGAGGACACTTTTGGTCATATTAGAGTCGGCAGACAATGCCCTGAATCAAGGGTCAGCCTTAAGCTCTGGGTGTTCATTTGCTATGCTGGATGCCCCTTGCCATGTCTAGAGACAAACAAATCACATGTTGTGAATAGAGGTGGTCATCTAGTCAATTTATCTAGCGAAACTATATTTGCATCTCAAGATATGTAAAAAAAAAAAAACTTGATTTTGGGCCAGAGCAAGTCCAAACTCTTTGTTTGCCACCAAAATGGCCCAAACCCCAAAGTGACTAAAGTCCATGAACTCAGTGAGATAAGGCTGCCCCCGAGCCGGGAATCGGCCCCTCTGTTCTTCACGTGCCCCCGTTTCGCCAGGCTGAGCCTGGCAATTGGGCGCCCCCAGCCGGGCGCGGGCATCCGCCATGTAATCCAGCATGCCTGACAAATTGTTTTGGGCGAGTCGCCAGGTGGGTATGGGTCAAAATGGGTCAAAATATACCCATCAGGAATCGGACCGCAGGTTTTGGTCTTTGGTTCCATTTATCAGGATTCCACTTTGGGTACGCGTTTTTGACCCACAGCCAGATGGGATCGCTTGCGGGAAAGCAAAGGCCCACAATTGGAAGTGATCTGTTGATCGATGTTATCGGTTTTCCAAGCTACTGGAGTTTTCCTTCTTGGGGTGTCTTGGGGCATGTGCTGCTATCTCTGACTTTGCCAACGATGCAGAAGGAAAACCTTGGCTCTGTCATGCCTTTGCGGACAGGGGGGGGGGGAAAATGTTCGCACTCATTGCGAGGTTTGGAGCAACATGGTTCAAAGAGACCAGACATGGACCAGGAAATCAGGCCCGTTTGGCACCCTGAGAATAGCCGAAGACGAGACTTTCCTGGGACTGGTGAAAAGTAGGAGTTGCTTGGCCATGAGCTTCTCATCGCTTCCCTGGTTGCTTTGAATTGGTGGTTTGCTCTGTAGCTTGCTTTCGCAGGTCAATCCGTTTCCAAAGCGCCCCAAGCTCGAACCACTGCAGAAC